GAAAACTAGAGGTACTGTGAACCGGATTTCCTGTGAGCAATGAGCTCACTAAATGATACCCCCGCCTCCCACATGATTATAATGGAAAAGTCTATGTTTTGCTGTGGCCGGAAAACCAAAAATATGTGTCGGATCAAAAGGTAAAATAGGAGGTGCACAATGGCAATATGTAATAAAGATTCTGTGAAAGATTCATTAATTTTCACTCAGTGGTATAAGAGGAGTTGCGGATAAGTCCCGGCCACAGTAAAACATGGACTTTGCCATTATAATCATATGGGAGGCAGGGGTTATCATTTAGTGAGCTCATTAATTGCTCACAGTACCCCTAGTTTCTTGTATATTAGAATGTGTAAATCTATATAATGATACGTTAGAAACATCAATAAAAGACAAAACATCATTTTAAAGTTGTTGATCAAAATATTCGAAAGAAAACTCTGCAATGGTGAAGTCATTGATTTTCCTCACCATTTTTGAGGGAGGGTGGGGTCCAAGGTAATTTTTGGTTACTTAACCATAATTTTTTGCGTGGTTCACCTTTATCACAAGTACTGTAAACGTAATATTACATTTGGCTGTGTATATATTCTTTTTAGCGCTTTTGGCGGAAAGAGACTTCAGCTAATTCAAGTACAACGCTAAATGTTTTGTACTTATGTACGTAAACAAGATTAAAGAACATTAGGAAATGTACTAAATCAAATCTACGCTAACTTGTTCAAAACTCAATTTCCGCCAAATATCATACACACTAAATATAATACATTTACAGTATGTCTAGATTTAGAACTTATGATAAATATTTCATTTAATTTTTTTCTCCAATGCAAATACACGATTTTTTTCCACAAGAAATTATATAGCACTATAAATCTGTACATACCAGATAATCGTCTTTAAAAATAGGCAAAAGAAACAAAAAGTTGAAGGAGGGGGGGGGGCAGATTTCATTTCCATTTTCGACAGAATTTTTCATGATAGGCAGAAAAAGTTGGAGAGCTCAATCACACTGTAACAAAAGATTCGGAGCCAGACGGCTCTACCAAAAAAGAAAATCTTCACAAAACCACCCATAGAATCTTCGTAGATAAAAGTGGCGAAAGGTTAAAGGTAGGGTGGGTAATGACCATCTTTTTTTCTTAAACTACATATACTTTTTGATTGTTGACTGGTTGAAGAGTATTAGTTTGATGGTTTACCCTCCCTCTAACTGAATTTGCTTTTTAGAGGAACCATACAAATTGCCTTTTTTTGTAATTCCAACTTTAAAGCTGGGGTTTTTCAACTTTAAAGGTGGTATTTCTAACCTTAAAGATGGCATTTCTAACTTGATTATATCGTTATTTTAAAAAATAAATTTTCGGGGGAATGGGTTATGTCTTTACAAACTTTCTTTATTTTTTGTTTAGTTTTTCTGTTCAATAAGTATGGCCCTACTGTACATGCCATAATGGCCCTTATATCTTTCTACATGTGGTATCAGTAGGGCCATGCTTATTGAGAAGAAAAACCTAAAAAATTAAGCCTGCAAAGACGCATCCCCATCCCCCCAAAATACATGAACGAAATCATACGATTAAAGTGAAAGCAAACAAGAAATTCAAATAACATGAGTTCTCTTTTAATTCCATTTATATATGCTGATATATTTATGCGAGTTACACACAAAGCAAATGTTTCTCTTTTCATCCACTCTGAAGAAGACTGGGTTTTTCATATCTTCAATGATCTTGATGAGAGTCCCACCACTGGTCAATACGTGTACATTATTACTGTCGTAGCCGGCCACATATATGTTGTCCAGAGAATCTTTGTCCAAGCCGTAAGGGCGCCTGAGACCAGGGCTGCTATATGTCCATATTTCATTCCCCTGATCGTATAGAGCTGTCACTTTGTTTGTCATGAAATTACATGTACTATATACAATATGACCCTTACTTGTGACCACAACATATCGAACGCCATTTGATGTTGGATAAGTCTTTATTTTCTTGAAGTCCGTGTTCAGCTTATCAATTGACTTGAAACAAGCTGCATAAAGAAAACCGTCGTGCACAGCCAATCCAAAATATTTCTTTTCCGTAGAGACAAATGACTTTTCCACATGTCCATCAACAGACCTAGCTGTTAATTCGTTACCCACAGTCATATATAGAATTTTATTTAACACGACTATATCAAACGAATTTCCAATATTTATTTCGTGTTCCAGCTTCAAATCGTAACTAGCACTGTTGAGCGAATACATAAAGATTCTGCCATTAGGTGTCCAATTTGTGAACATTATACAGCTTTCAGATAAAAAGACCATACTTCGAATATCAATCGCCTTTTCCTTTGTCAGCTGTAAGCACGATTTTAATTCGAGTGTTTTCGTTATTATTTCCTCTCTTTCCTCTTTCACATCAAATTTTACGCTTGCAAACTTTGAAACATTTTGTAATGCCTCCAACTCAAGACTCACAGAGGATTCTATACTACCATACAGTGAAACTGTTCCAGAATTTCTAATGTGTTCAAGTTTTTGTTGACTGTTTCGGAACTCCATAACAAACTCTACGTCAGCATCGTTGCGGCCTTTGACCTTTTCCAATTCCTTCAAGCAGCAGCGCATCAGTTGGCTTCTATCACTAACCGATTCGACATTTCTGGACATTTTTTCTTTACCCTCCTTGGAGTATTTTGATACTTGATCTAGACACTCACTCTCAAGCTTTTCTAGATGCTGAACAAGTTTTACCTTCATGTTTTGAATCTCAGTCGTAATCTTATCAGTAGCATCTTCGATCTGGGTAATATTTTTCTCCTGTTTTTCTTTAGTCTTACAAAGTTGGTTTTCAATATCTTCGATTTCTTTATATAGAGCTTCAAATGCTCCACTTTTTCTGATCTTCTCTGCTTTCTGTTCAATGGTTTCCACGCTGTCACATTTGCGGTGATCAGTACTAACACACATTGTGCAGCAAAGATGATCGTGGTCATTGCAATAAAGCTCCACTGGCCTATTTTTGTGTGTTGTGCAATTTTTATTTTTAAAATTCGAAATCTCACTGACAGCTTTGATGTCAGTTAAATCGCAAATTTTGTGATCAATTGACATGCGACTGGTTTTATGACACTTCGTACAGATTTCACAAAGGGCCTCGCTACAAGACAAACAATAACCCTTTGCCTCTTCCTCTTCATTTCCTCTTTTGCAGGCATCACATAATTTTCTACGCTCCGTTTGCTGGGAAAATTCAACTAGCACTTGATTAATTCCGAAATATTCACACCATTTACTGGGATTTCCGGATAAATTTGGAGCTGGCGTAAATTCCCGGCATAGAGGACAATGAAATCCCACAGGGCCCGCCTTACTTTCACAAGACGATACAATGTATGACGATAAACATCCATGACAAAATGTGTGTGAACACGGTAGCGTACGTGGAGTTTTGAATGTTTCAAAGCAAATGGAACATTTTGTCACATCGCCGCCAATGTTGTCCGGTAAAAATAAAGCTGCTGCCATATTCGAGCCAAACTTTTGAAACCGGGCATCGAGTGATCCGCCGCTCCGCACCGCCTCGTACCGTAAGTGAAGTTGATAAAACCGGATGTCTGGTAAACTGGTTGTGTGTGTTAACTCGTACAAAAAAATTCTATTTGGTCTTCATTTTAGCGACACAAATCTTCTATAATTTTGTAAATATTATTTCATGAACGTTGCATGAAGACTAAGAAAATGACTGTTTTGGCTTAGTGTTAATTAATCCCCAGTTAACTGAATGTAAACCCCCGAGGAAAAAGAAACAAGGTATCCAACCCATCAAATTAATCAACATAAAAAGCCAAATGAAAATTAAAGACATATAACAATTATTAACTTTTAAAGCTTTTAATTGCACATGTTCATAACAAAAATTATAACACAGGCACAACTGCATGAGAAAAAGTTGAAGTTTCATTTTAAGGTTAATCTTTTCTTGCCAGATCTTGACATCTTGCAAGTTTGAAGGTAGGTATTTTGATATCTAAAAGGATACTCAGTTCAAAAATAAAATTAGAAAAGAATAAAAGCAAATTTAGCAAGAATGTCTTGGGAATCTAGTTTTAAAAAATTCTAATTTATTCGAAAGCTTTCTGGAACTATATATAGTATTTATTTTGTTTGAAGTTTAAAGTCCTACACGCTATATGAACCCCAAATTTTGTGTGAAACAAAATGATTAATGATTTGAAACACATGAAGTGTAATGAAAAATAATACTTTCCACAAAATTTCCCTATAGACGTCGTTGTGATAACGAAACAATGAAGCAATATCTGGCAATTAAGAATTCAGTCTTTTCATGAATATTAATGAAGGAAGTGCGTAAACAATAGGCCTATATTTAGACACGCAGGTATGTTGCATTTTGACAACAATTATTACTAAAAGCTAAAAGATTAATATGCGTCATAATAGAGTAGATGGTTGATACTGATTACATTAAAAGATAAGTATCATTAAGAATAAGACGCTTGTCTTCCACGTGAAAAGTGAGTAGTATCTCAAACGGCCTACCTTGTTTTCTTCAAGCCATGTTTGTTTATCAATCTAAAAGTAGCGACGGCGTCACGTGATTGATTTAGTTAAAAATAGCCATTTCTTTCCTAGCAGGCTTATAAATAATTATAATTTGATAACTTTATAACGCGTTTAATTTTAATGGTGTAATTTACAGTATTTTCTTAACTTTTATTGATAAAAAAAATATATAAATCAGACTAAATAATTAGGGACGTCAAATCGGTCAATTTTCAATACTCGGTTACTCGGACGTTTTTCCGATCGAGTACCCGGGTACTCGGTAAAAGTGTAAACAAATATGAACAAGTAAATTGAAGACTGTAAAACATTTTAAACTCTTGTAGAAATAAAACCAGATGCACTTATAGGAGGCTTATCCGTAAATGTATTTATGTTGTAATAATGATGAGGACTTCGTGTCCGACGGAATTTTATATAACATTTTTTAAGGTTCAATTTATTTATCAGATAAACACAAGAAATAAAATAAGTTGTTCACAGTGTTTTAGTTTAAAAAAATAATCTGCTGCGTAATTGTATAATGGAACTCTTTGTCGCGTTTGACGACCAGGTATCAGTCGTCAGAGCTACGTACAGTATCAACTTGAACTTGATCAAGTTCTCCTAATAGAGCGGATTTACGATTTTAGTACACTTGTTCGATCCGAGATTTATATAGTATTACGGGACGGTATTTTGTAGTTTGATGCAACGATGGACATCAGTTTTTTTTAAAGCCTTTGCCTTCAACCAGTTGTATTGGCATGTAATCAAACACAACCATATCAACAATCGCACGTGTAATATCATCCGCTCTTTTCCCGAGAATCTACGGCTTCTCGGAGAATTGACAAAATTATCTAATTTATTTAAACATAATGGATCTTAAACGATGTTCAGTGAAAACAAATAATTAAAGCCAAACAAAAATAAGGGAAGAAGGCAGCCGCAGGTGAGAAAAGCCAGGTACACCAGGTACTTGGTCACGATAATTACTGTATAAACACTGCCACAGGCGATAACGGTCATTTAGAGTCGTAGTAAACCCTAATTACTGTATGTACAAGTGCAATGAGCATTTTACGTTTTAAAACAGATTGTTTAATGCATTAATAAATAAGACTAGAAATATTCAAAAATATACATCCGAGTAACCGAGTACCGATTTTAGTAATCGATACTCGGACGTTCGATCGAGTACCCGGTTAACCGGGTACTCGTTGACATCCCTTATAAATCTCCAATCTTATTTAAGCCGGCGCAGGTTATAGCGTGTATATACGTTTAAAGAATTTATTTTTACGAAGTCAAGTTAGATAATAAAATGCTTTCTTTGGTTGTTAGTACGGGAATTAATGTCGCAGCTATTGCAGCAAAAATACATAAAATACGTGTAATTTTGCGAACAAACAAAGAAAGCATTTAATTGTTTATATTTACATCTGTATCAAAATTCATTCCAAGTAAAATTAAAAAAATTGTTTACTATTGTTTTTAAGATGAATATGAGATTGTATGTAGAACAGATTGAACAGCCATTGTTCAATGTAACTACACACGTGGCTTGCTCAGTGTTGTTCATGCACTGATTAATGGCAATTGCCTTCATAAGAAATAAAAGGAAAAATATTCAGTGGATGTAAATATCATTTGATGACTCTTGTAAAATAAGTTCGACATTCCGATCTTTTACCTCCTCCAGAGATTTTCTGCAGTGTCGCAACAACTCACTCAAGTCATTTGTTGACTTGATTTTTTCTCGTTTTTGATTTAACATCTTCTGTATGTTTTGTTTTGTTTTTTTGACTCCCTCATTAAGACACTCACTTTCCAGTCATTTTTAGAATTTTAAAGTTTTGCTATAATATTTTGTTTGATTCCGCATTGTTTTGGTCTTGCAGCTTTTTGCTGTTAGAAAGGCTTATTTCCTCATCTGCTATTTTTTTCAACAAGAATTCAAACATTCCAACATTTCAGCTTTCTGTTTGATGGTTTCCACACTGTCACAAATTTTCTGTGACTTGTATTAACACACATTGAACAACAGAAACTAATATTATGAGGTACAAATGTTTACAACAAGAGGCCCATGGGCCACATCGCTCACCTGAGCACTGTGGCAAGGAAAAAGTAGAAATTTGTTTATTATTAAATAGTTTAAATCCAAAAGTAGTCCAAAGACTAATCATGGCTTTGCTATTCTTGATAAGATGATTTTTTAAGAATTTTCCTATATATTTCTATGTAAAACTTTGATTGGCCATTGTGGCCTCGCCCTACCACCGGGGGTGATGATTTGAACAATCTTGAATCTACACTACCTGAGGATGCTTCCATATAAATATGATCAGTTATGGCTTTGTTATTCCTAAGAAGAAGATTTTAAAAGAATTTTCCTATATATTTCTATGTAAAAAATTGATTGGCCATTTTGGCCCCACCCTACCCCCGGGGGTCATGATTTGAACAAACTTGAATCTACACTACCTGAAGATGTTTCCCTATAAGTTTCATATTTCCTGGCACAGTGGTTCTTGAGAAGAAGATTTTTAAAACATACCACCAAATTTTCATTAATTCCCAATTATGTCCCCTTGAATGAAGGCGTGGCCCTTCATTTGAACAAAATTGAATCCCCTTCATCCAAGGATGCTTTGTGGCAATTTTGGTTGAAATTGGCCCAGCGGTTCTTAAGAAGGAGTCGAATATATGAAAAGTTTACAACAACGACGACAACGACGACAGATAGCAGACAAATTGTGATCAGAATAGCTCACTTGAGCCTTTGGCTCAGGTGAGCTAAAAATGTATAGGGGAACATACATTTAATACAATCAGCATGACAAATACGTCAAGGAAATAATAACAAGAATTGTTGTTTCCTGCTTTCGGTGTCTTTATGCGTGTAATGTCATATTTTATGTCATATTGTGCCAAATTAATATGAATGCCCTTTTATATGTCTTTCAGAAGTTATCACTGAATTTGTTTTTATTTTGAAAAGTAGGTCAATCGTTAGGTCCAGGGATCAGAAATTTCGTTTGTTTGTTTGTTGTTTAACGTCCTTATCGAGAATGTTTTACACATGTGGAGAAGCCGCCACTTGAGAGCTGTCACTTTATACCTTTACATGGCGCTGAGGGCCATTGGCCAGTGTGAGATCTTTTTCCAGGAAACGCGTACCTCGACACGGGACATCGCGGTTATATTGACTCATTCGGAGGACCGGTATTCAGTCCTTCAGACTGACTTTTCCGCCGTTAACTTTCATTATTTATTTAGTAATATCCCACAATCACTTACTTATAGTGTCATTTATTCGTTGATCAGAGCTTGTTATGAGTACGATGAATTTTTAAACCAAGGTATGCTACTCACAGATAAGTTGATGCTACAAGAATTTCTACAATCTCATTTCAAGTCAGAAATTTGTAAATTCCATGGTTATTATAATGGGTCTTTCATTGGATCGTATTTTTGTTGACCTGTTTCATTTAATTGTTGTGCTTTTGATTTTACACTGAATTTGACTATGGATTTTCCTACTTGATCAATACATAGGGCTTACTCCTCATAGGCACCTAATCCTACCGTGGAGTTTTGCGTCTTTATGCCTATTTCATAGATTTGTATTGTTTGTAGATTATAATATAATGTAAAGAGGAAGAGGCTCCAATGCCCTAAAATGGCCCCATCAAGATTTTCAGAAATAATTGTTTATAGACATGTAGAGGCATTGTAATTTTCAGATACATTTAAATTTTTGCCGTGCGACGCACGTGCTGCTTGTATGACGTCATCAATCTTGCTATGTTGAATGAATGAAGACTTCAGATTTCTATGATAAACACATATGGTTTTCAATACAAAATGTTATGAAAATTCATTAGCAAAATATGCATATACTTTATCCTGATCTTTTATTCATCCAAAGACACTGTCTAATTTTATTTCACAACA